CCGTCGTCTTTTGGTGGAACCGAGCTTCGAATCTCTTCACCCTCAACACTTTCACTCGAAATGGAAGTAAGCTTAACAATTATGAAACAAAAGATTCCTCAAAACCCACCTTTTGTTCGCATATATTACGATTATGAAGGTCGCTTGTGTCTATGACCCAACGAAGAGATGTCCTGATTGATCTTGGCAAATTTGCTTTATCTTTTGCAATGGTCTCTTACCACCAGGCGGGGCTGCGGGCTGATCTGATTATCACGTCTCGCATGATTTATTCATCCTATGAGCTGGAGCTACATAACCAAACATAGCAAGTGCAATTCGGCTTAAGGAGATTGTAACTAAATCATTTTTTAGCGTATACATTGCATCAAACTCAGACTATTTAACTGTATAATATTAGCAATATAATTATATATTTATACATATACATATATATATATAGTTTATTTAAATCATGCATGATATATATTTTTATTTTTTATTTCCATCCATATACTTAATATTTGGGGTCTTTCGTTACACTTTATTTTAATTAAAAGGTAGATATTGAGATATAATTTCATTTTCATTTATATGCTAATATAAATAAAGTGAAACAAAAGAACCTCTTAAATATGGGGTCAATAGATAGATGGATAGCATGAAAATTAAAATGCGTTTTTATATATCTATGACATTTTAATTTATTATATATATATATATATATATATATGTGTGTGTGTGTGTGTGTGTAGCTTAAAGCTGGTATTTTCTAAAATCCGCCTTCCCGAATATACAGTTTAAGCTTTAGGTAACAGGCCGAATAATGAAAATAAATGGTATATTTTTGAAGAATGTCAATTTATTGTCAGGTATGAACAGGAAATGTAAAAATGTATGATGGGCAATTGGAATAGGATTACTTTTCAAAGCATAAGGCAGAGTTTCCTGTTCAGCTCTTTGTATTTACACATGTTTTTCTTCGGCTGATGATTGGGCAAATGGTTCATTCTGCCTCGCGGTTGGCTACTATCCTGAACTGGCTAATGGTGTGCAAAGTATACGTGGTACTAATAGTTGGTGAAACTGCGAGTCAACTAGAAAAAGGGAGTAACTCCATTGACCGTGTGCAAATGCAGAGCGTCGCATAGAAAATAGGCGAGGATGCTCAAACGAAAGTGTCGTTTGCATCAAAATAAAATCTTCTCGATTGGGTTCACACATGAGGTGAATTTGTACATTGGCATCACAGATATTGCTCGGACGTTAAAAAGAAAAAAAACATTCTCTTCACATCGCCTAGGCGCGTCAGTCCGGCCTGACTAGGCGAGACGGAGTGGACGACGAGCAGGAGGACCGTGTGGCTGGGAGACGTCGTGGGCAGCAACCGGCGCTTGAAGGCTCATCTTCACGTGAATCCTGTCGGATGAGGTGAAGACGCGAGTGCAGCCGGTCAGTTGCTTTTATACCGGACGCCAGTCTCACGTCTGCCGATTGTCGACTGCCATTGTTGGGAAGAGGTCAAAGTTCAACTGAAAGACTCTATTTAGCGTAAATAAAAAAGGGCGCTGTCCGCTCTACCGACTTCAAGCATAAGTTGAGCAGCCGTTTTGACCTCTCAGGTCAGGTTCAAGGGTACGAGGCGTTTGCAGACATGTCTGTGTCTGTGTGTGTGTGTGTGTGTCAAAATAGAGAACTAGGATTGGTGAAAGAGGGACCGTGAGATTTGAGTTCGGCAAAGTACTCGGTGAAGCAAAGGGGGTCCGAATTGATGCGCAGCATCTCGGCCGTCTTCAGGTTGATGATGCTGAGGCAGCGGCTCCAGAAAGCGTTTCGCTCTTCTGCCGAGATTGTCGAGTTGCCGACAACGTCTACGCTCTCGCCTTTGGCGTCGGAGGCGGTGGCGGTGGCGGTGGCGGTGGCGGTGG